ACCTTTTGGGTGCGCTTTCCACAAAAAAATAAAATAAAATAAATAAAATAAATTCTAAAGCAAATTGCAGAATTTCAACACGTAAAACCATAAATGATTGAGAAGGAATTAAGAATGCCAACTCAGTTCATTGTTGATATTAGGTTTAATGTGTCCCTTAGCTAGTAGCTCCATGTTGTTCTAAAAATAAAATTCAACAAATAAAAACCAATGTCTGCAAAACATGCATTCATTACAAAACATTTTAGAAAGTGAAAATGGGGCCCTGGCCTGCTGGCCCTGTAAGCCCGTTTTACCCAGGAGCCAGTACAGCACTGGGTCCCTAATTCAGTTCTCTACATGTCCTTTCTCAAGTCAGGATACACCAGAGTGTGTACAATACAAATAACACGCAAATCTCAACCTTAAATACCTGTGAAAATCTAATTATTGCAATCTCCATTTTACTTATTTTTCAAGCTAGTGTTAATTGAATGCTCAATTTGAATGTGCAGCATTGCACTGTAATCCCCATACAGTTCATAATGTCCACTTTCCTAAAATGATGACCAAAATTGTTTTTTTTAATTTTTTTTGGTGCATAAAACATATTTTGGAAAGAAAAATGTGTTGATTGTTTTTTGTTGTTGTTGTTGCAAAAAGTACAAAAATGACTCAGGCCGCTAATTTAGGAAGGTGACGTTATTTAGTTATTTTAGACAACAATACGATTGAGCATTGTTCGTTGCAGTTAAAATCAATGGATCATTCAACTGTTATCATTTCTATCATTATCATAGATGAGGCCACAAATGTTGGCCTCATCCAGAGGAATCAGAGGTTTAGCAGGATGGTTGCAGTGAAAGGGCTGAAGTCTACAGCTTTAGTTTATTATAAATCCTTGATGGCTAAAATGCTGTTGAAAATTATGACAAAATTTAAGATGTAGAAGAAAAAACATTTTTGTTATTGGTTGCCCTTAGCGAGGATCAGCTGCAGACTGATGCTGAGCAGAATTATGGGTAAAATACTAGAAATCTCCAGTTATCAATTCGCATCTAGAAAAAGGATCAAAGTCAAGGTGATTAATTGGCCTAAAGAGGTCAAAGGTCAGTGATATCATTCCCTGTAGGGTTTAAGCATGTACTGATGGTACATTTATTGATGTAGATTCTTTCAAATTCAAGATAATTCAAAGAGCAAAATGAAAAAAGAACAAAAACCTTTGAGAATGAGTTTAAATAAAGGTCAGCTTAGCAGAAATACATGCAGGCTTTTTCAAAACAGCTTTGTTCAGTAACCTCAGTGTATGAATTTTGATGACGATTCAATTCATTATTTAGAGGAGTTAGATTTGAGGAAAATCACGCAAGTGCAAAGAAAAACGGCGTTCACTTTCCTTACAACTTCGAGGTGGAAATGGAAATTACATGTGGATTTAATAAGCTGACACAAGTACCATCTCATATTCCTTTGGGTTAATTATTTTCATATCAAAATTGTAAAAAAAAAAAAAAAAAAATTAAAAAAGGATCTGGGGAAAAAAAATTAGGCTACGGAAGAAGAGTGTGAATATTACAGTGGAAGGTGAATTGATTGATTAGATGAAATGCTTTTATTTTATCAGTCAATCAATAACTCATCATTGACCCAACTAATATTTGATGTATCAGTGCTTGCTGCAAACTGATCTCCCGTTGTTGTTGTTAATATTCTATATAGTTTTTGATCTTATACAGATCTGATCATAGTAAGTGAATAGGGCTAGTTAATACATTATTAATTTTAATTTGTATTCAGGAGGGGAATCTGGATACAAATCACAATGAAGAGAAACAAATACTGCTTCACATCAGATACATATATCAGTCATTCATAAGTGAAAATAAATCATTCAGCTACAAGAATTTCAGCTCTTTTAGGAAGTCTTCAGGGAGGTTTAACAGTATGTTAGGAAGGTCAGACACTGATGTTGGGTAAGGAGGAGTGATTTATGGTCTCCGCTCTAATTCAACCCAAAGTGTTGTCCTGGGATACCAGCAGGCCTCTTCTGGCCAACAAAGGCCCCAACATTCACTTCAGTGCACGGAAATCCGCCGGACATGTCCACACAAGCATCGATTTTTATGTCCGCGCACATTAAACTACCTGGTGGAACGAGTTCACATCGAACTCGTTTTTATGTGGCTGATAAGTTTGAGAATAAGGTTTTTATGAGTTCATGTTGTTTCAAAGTTGACATCAACATGATAAAAGTCAACATAAAGTTGTCACGGGGACATGACAGACATGTTGAGTCTGACTTTTTTTTTTTTCTCGAACAACGACAAGGAAATGATGATCGGGTATGTGCTCCTTTTCGATTGCTACAAAATTATTAAACCGACAACATTTCTGCTTTTGGGACATAATAAACAAAGCCTATTGTTTACGGATTGTTGATTACAGCTAAGGCCAGCGCAGCCTCCTGTTGATCTGTTCCTGAAATCACCAGCCCAGCAGTTGTTTCAAAAAGCCAATGATCCAATGCAGAGGCGCTTCTAACCTGTTTGGTTTCCCTGGGCGAGCCAACCTTCCTGTTCCCCCGCCACTGATCTAATGTACAAGAGGTGAATCACAACATACAGTTTTCTGTTGGCAGTAATGCAGTCTGTCTTCCCAACAACCAGACCACTGTTCATCCCTGAGGACCTGATATTACAGCTGGTTCCGTCCAACCTGGGACAAAACACCCGCTGAAGTTTTTGATGATTCTGATTGGCTACTTGTTGCATGAAGACTCCAAATCTCTCTGTGGTATTTCAAGTTTCTGAAGAGTGAACATTAAAGCTGAAACACAGATCTATGCGGGGGGTGAGGGAGGCAGTAAAGCTCACTGGGGAAGAAACGGCGATGTGTCCAGCTTCCTCAAACTCCCGCGAGACTCCTGAAACACACCCAGAGGTTTCTGTCTACAGAAACCTACAGAAACCTCTAGAAACTCCACTAACTAAAGAACAGACAGACCCGAGGCAGACGGCTCTGTTACATCCAAAACCTAAAGCCCAGCATATCCTGGCCTAAGCAAACACACACACACACGCACACACACACACCCAACGGATTTTGTTATACCAATATGAAAGACACACTTTGGACTGACAAATATTCCCTCATCTCGGGTTTATGTGTGCCACCACCGTGGGCTTGTGTTTGTCCCCCGATCTCCAACATTTTTGTTCATGAGGATTCCAATAAAGGCTTGTTAAACAACAGATTTCATTCTCCGACTCGAGAGGGCCCTGCTTGGCCCAGAGGCGTAAGCTGCTCCTTTGAACATCTAAATCCCCGTGAAGCGTCTGACTTCCCTTTGTTATTCACTGGTGGACTGTTTCTCTGTCTGAGCCATCGCTCTGGAAAGGCTCCAGTGGGCTGCGTTCAGGGAGCTTTTAGCGGCAAAAGATCATCTCTCTGAGATCATCAAGGCCCGTTTAATTGCACTCCTTCAGAACGTCTTTGTAGAGGAGCGTTTTAATGAAGAATTCATCAGAAAAGAGGAGATGGGAAAAACGATTTAATGAGCCCATCCCCGAGGTGGAGATGAGAGAAAAGAAAACATTTGCTCAGCCTACGTGTCTGCTGCCCTCTGCTGCTGGGAGCACACACACGTCTATTTGTAGCGTTTAACTGTGGGGATGTTTGGTGGAATGAAAATCAAATTCAAAACCTCAAACTAAGGGGTGAAATGATTATTCAAATAATCCATTAATCAATAGCTGCAGTATACAGACTCAAAACAAGCCCAGTGTTGAAAGAACAATACCATCAGAGCAGTAATTCAGACAAAATTTAACCAAAAATATACTCATTTTGCATTTAAGATTAAAAAAAATATGTTCCATGTATACCCAGAACTCCTCAAAAGTTTCAAATTCAAATTCAGATTTATGTTAAGAAAATAATCATATTAAACACCCTTTCTATCCAATTGATCAAGATAATAAAATGAATCAACAAAGCAATCTACAGATCAATCCCTCACTTTGTTGCTGTTAAGTCAAGCAGAAAAAGCTCAACTCTTTACATGTTGAGGTTAGAAGATTTTTTTTAAGCTGCAGATTCTTCCTTTGCTACAAATAATCAAGCGTTCGGTAAAGAAATGCTGTCATTAAATTTTAGTCGATAAAATGGTTTTCTTCTTTAAAAAAATAATTGAATTTTTTGTTTTTGCTGCTACATTTTTCAGAAAACATCTGAAAAATGTTTCCTCAGAAAACATTTTTTTGAGGAAACTCATGCTTGGTGGCCATAAAACTACCTGAGGGCAATTCTTTCTCTGTAAAATTGCCCTGAGATGTGTCTGTCTTGTTGTTTGTGATGGACCAGCGACCAGCAAAATAAAAGCTGGCAATTTTTTTTCTCTCTTTTAGTTTTTTACCTCTGGCCCTCGTTCATGTTTGTCAATCACAACAGGCAGCGAAGAACAAGCTGTCAGTCAAATACCTTCAGATGAGTGAATGAGCTGGAAGTGTGTGCTGCGTTCCATTCCTGAACTGCTGCAAGGTCAACGCAGTCCGATGGCCCGTGGCCAAAATAACGGCCGGGAAAAATCCGCCCTCACCTTTTCTTTACGGTTCACACGGCTCTCACTGTGAAGTTTACTGGCATTGTTAACTGCAACACATTCTTCACATTTCTGCTGTAGTACACCACATGAAGAGTACAACAATACTCACTCAGCCTGTCCCTTAGCTGCAAGGGAAAAAATACTGTTGTGTTGATGAGCTGTTATGATTGTACAGCAATATTAAATCTTTAGTGGTGAAAATTATTTTCCAAAAATAAAATAATTAACCTGATTAACACTTAAATGGTGCAGTGACAGTAGATCAACATCATTTTGTTAACTGGCTGCACCTCTGAAGGTACAAAATTAAGAAATGTGTGTCAAAGACAAACCTCCTTCCAAACACTGGACACACTGCTTCAGGTTGGTCGGCCTTTATCATGGCCCAGAAAAACATACAAATATACATTATTCGTTCAAATTCAAAAATACTTTATTCATCCCAAAGAGAGTTAAATGTTGTTGTGATTCATTCATTTTTAAAAGAGTTATTCTAGATACTGATGGCTGTTAAAATATTTCTTGTAGTGGAATCTGAAGAAGACAAAAAGACAAAAGAAGACAACAGGATGGTCACAGTTGTTCATACTCTTCTTGATTTTATGAAGAATCATTTTTTGCATAATCATCTCCAGAGGTTCTCCAGAGAACAGAACCAGAACAGAACCAGAGCAGAACCAATGCAGAACCAGAACAGAACCAATGCAGAACCAGTGCAGAACCAGTGCAGAACCAGAACAGAACCAATGCAGAACCAGAACAGAACCAATGCAGAACCAGTGCAGAACCAGAACAGAACTAGTGCAGAACCAGAGCAGAACCAGAGCAGAACCAATGCAGAACCAGTGCAGAACCAGTGCAGAACCAGAACAGAACCAATGCAGAACCAGTGCAGAACCAGAGCAGAACCAGAGCAGAACCAATGCAGAACCAGTGCAGAACCAGTGCAGAACCAGAGCAGAACCAGAGCAGAACCAGAACAGAACCAGTGCAGAACCAGAACAGAACCAATGCAGAACCAATGCAGAACCAGAGCAGAACCAGAGCAGAACCAATGCAGAACCAGTGCAGAACCAGAACAGAACCAGTGCAGAACCAAAACAGAACCAGAACACAACCACAGCAGAACCAGAGCAGAACCAGTGCAGAACCAGAGTAGAACCAAAACACAGTGCAGAACCAGAACAGAACTAGTGCAGAACCAGAACAGAACCAGTGCAGAACCAGAACACAACCAGTGCAGAACCAGAACAGAACCAGTGCAGAACCAAAACAGAACCAGAACAGATCCAGTGCAGAACCAAAACAGAACCAGAACAGAACCAGTGCAGAACCAGTGCAGAACCAGAACAGAACCAGTGCAGAACCAGAGAAGAACCAGTGCAGAACCAGAGAAGAACCAGAACAGAACCAGTGCAGAACCAGAGAAGAACCAGTGCAGAACCAGTGCAGAACCAGAGCAGAACCAGAGCAGAACCAGAGTGCACAGAACCAGAGAAGAACCAGTTTTCTTTATCAAGCTGTAGAGTTTTGTTTTTTTAGGTCCCTGGTTCTGATGCTGCTGCCCCAACAAACAACAGAACAACAACTTATAAAAAATATGCAGCATTTTGCTGCAAACCTTGAAGGATCTTAGCTTCCTCAAGAAATCCAGTAGATCATAGATCCTGTATGAGTTTGAACCTGAACAAAGATGTTAAGAGTAAAGCTTGGTTCGTCCATCTGATCACTCCAGCTATCCGTCCACTGCATGCATGACTTTAGATAAACACATTTAATCTGTTATTTTTCTACCACATCTTGGATGTTTTTGATAAAGATAAAATGTGATGTCATGCTTGTTGTGCTGAGGATGTTGTAGATGTGCTATATCAATAAGCTTTGACTTGATTGAACTGTTTGAATTGTATAATTCATGGATAATGGATAATCTCCTTGGATGAAATTTCACTCTGGAAAACGGTTTCTCTTATGTTTGGTCATAAAGGATTTTTTTAGAAAACTGAATCAAAGTTTTAAACGCTCATCTAGTGTTGATTATTTTCTTCCTCAAAAAGTAACAAACACAATAGTAATTGAGGAATAGCACTGTAATAGCCATGTAGCCAGGAGATATTAGTTTTCTATTTGTTAATGTTGACAACATGTTTCAGTCAATATCAGATAGTAGTCTGTCTTTTAAAAACTGTCCAAACACTCATAATTATGTAAAGCAACTAATCAGGCTTTCAAGTAATGCAGTAAGAAAAAGAAAAGAAGAAAAATCCCATCTGGAGTGTGGCATCAGGGAAATAGCCAACCAGCTCATCCAGACATACATGAGATACTTACTAAATGATGGAGCAGTCTGTCCTGAGGACAAGAACTACAGCTTGTTATTCCCCAACCTGTATTCCTAGAACAAAGATCAGTTTGTCATCTGTTTTAATCAAAGAACAACATCCTAATCCAGAAAAGGTCAGAGATTGATTATGCATGCTGTGCGTTCACAGACGTTTATATTTTCTTGCTCTGTATCCTGTGATGAAGGGTTATTATGGTTTTGGATGTCTATAAGGATGGCCTTCAGTGACGAATGGAAGACGGTGGACAGCTTGTTTCTCCTCGTTACCCAAACTAACCAAATGGTTGTGTTTGGAGACAGCGACTGGGCTGCAGAGAGAAACAGTGACTGTGACTGTTGGTCCTGCTGGTCAAATATAGGCTGATCATCCTTAGCTTCATCACCACTGTTAAAGCTATAGTTGCTGGTGGGAGTTCTAGCAAATCGCGTCAGTACTAATGTCTCCCTATATTTACCACTATGTTCTCAAATAAAATGAAAATGAAGATAGTTTTAGGTTCATTCATATTAACATCACCAATGAAAGCAGATTTTAGGCAAAATTTTTCTATTTCTGGTTACAGTCCTCACATGCTCTATGCAATTTTGATGCCTCGCTCCATGCATAAAGAAAAAACCCCACCACAACATTATGATGTCATCATCATAATGTTGAGGAATAGCACCGTGCTTCAAAATAGGGATAGTGTTACCTGGAGCAACATTTTGTAAAAGTAATTTTATTGAGCTTTACATCATGTTACAATGTTATTTCTGCATCAAAAACATATGTGGAGTGTTGCTTCGATTCTTCCATGCATGCTGAGAAATCCTTTCATCTCCATGGTAACTGTGTCAGCTGTGCAAAATACCTGGGTGGACCGAACGCTCCTCCTCAGAGCTGCAGTTTACAAGCTTCCAAGCTTCTGCCTCACAGACAAGCCCTCCTCCGCTCAGCTCCTTCAGACTAGTCAGCTGCAATTAGTAAACAACAGGAGCTGGTAAAAATGTTAAAAGATTAGAGTAGTGCTGTGATGGAATTTCAGAAAGAGAAGGAGTTTTTAAAGAGGCAGGGGCCCAATTTAAAAGTGTGAAATTGCAAAGTCAATTTATTTTAAGTAATGTTTGATGTACGTAGAAACTGAAGGTAACATAGTTATTTAATTGTGCTATAAAATGGCATCATGTGAAAATACACCACTGCCCTTTTAAATGATAACAGTTTTTCTCCAGGCATGAGAAAAATCGAATATCCTATAAAAACAAAACGAAAGTTTTATTTTTGTTTCATAAGAACAAAAACTTTCTCCTGCTCTCACAATCTCAAATGTGTGTTTCTGCTAAATTTAAGCAGCTTATCATATGCTATCAAAGAGGAGTGGCTCCCATCTGCTCACTCTGCCATAAAGTCCTGATTGCTACATTGACAGTAGTTTCCTCTACAAGAGGAAACTGGAACTCTGCCTTGGTGACCATCGTGTATTTGATCAGGTTTCTGGCTAAGGCCATTCTTCCCCAGTTACTTGTTTTCGTCAGGTCTGCAGAGGATCCGGGTGGTTTCAAACTTCATCCATTTCCAAGTAATGGAGCCAACCATTCTACTCATGACATTCTACTCATGACATTCAATCTTTCCTGAGATTTGTGCTGTTGCTCAGTTAAATCCTGGACTACAAGAGGTAAGTCCTTTGACTTCCTTGTTTGGTTTCTGTGTTGTCCACTGTAAGAGCTTATTCATAATTATGTGTTCTATTCCAAATAATGTTCTGTCCACTGACTTGACCACAGGTGGACTCCAATCACGTTGCAGAAGCAGCAATGAATGAATCAATCAGTCTATTCACTTGATTTATCAAGTATAACCATTAATTCACAAACACATTCTCCTGCCACACAAACTAAAGACGAGTGAAAAGTTAGCAGGAGGAAGAACAAATCTTACAAACCTTCTCCTTTCTCAAGAATTACAAAATACATTTTCGTGGCAATAGAGATCAAATCAACAATATTAGCTGCAAAAAATATGTAAGTATGTAAATGGTACATAGTAAATGGTACAGAGTCTTGTGGACTTGCAAATTTAGAAAATGTTTTTGTTAGACATTTGCAAAAATGTCTGCGACTATGTTTTTGTTTTGTCATTGCTGTTTTTTTGTTTGTTCTTGTTTTTGTTTTTTTTTAAAGAAATGTAAGCTACACTGAAAACAGTTTTAGACCAAATATATCTTAAACCTTCTGGAAAAATCTGACCAGGCAGGATACAGCCACATTTTTGTTGCAACTTTAAAACAATAACACCGGTCATGTGATTAAACTGCAACGTTCTCCTTAGATTTTGGACATAAAAGAATCTTTACTTTAATCTTTTTAAATATAAATGAATTGTTGACTCCTCCAGAACAGCGATAGTGAAGTCTTACGTCAGCTTCCCAGTAGCTCTCTGCTCTGCCCCTCCTCCTCCAGGTCCAAAAAACATATTTTTTATTTTAAGTGTCTTAAAGGGAATGTTTGACTAAGTGTCAGGACATGAATATTTATCTTGTTTGAGGGCAGCGTGCTCTACCTCTCGCATAATAACAGTAGGGACAGTCTGAAGCCCAATTTACTGAGGGTCTGTGTGGCAGGGTGGTTTGTTTACACATTACTATAAATTTTACTAAAGGTTCAGCAGGATCCGGTCTGACAGTATACTGGCCAGCATTACATAAACCAAGCTTAGGAAACATACAGAACTGCACAAGTTGGACTCTGATTAGTATTTCCACCTGACTGCACATTCATTCATCTGTGTTGTTTTGTGATTCTGCTAATCATATTTAACATTTACGTTTAAGACACAAGGTATGTGTGAATATGACTTGTGCACCCTAAACTAAAGAAATCAAGTGTTCAGTTCTCCGGTCAGGATAAAAGTGACAGTTGGCTTGTCCAGCAATCAATTAAAAAACTGTGAGAGCTGTTCACACTGTCATTTTTTTAATGTATTGAAGTTTATTGCTATAGCGTGGTTCACAGCAAAAAAAAAAAAAAAAAAGTCTAAACTTTTGACTCTAGTCTATGAATATCTGGAAGTCAGATATTCCAGTCAGAGTATTCTTTAAACTCCATGCTGGAGTTTAAAGAAGGGAAGGAGTCTGGATTTCTTTTACTCTGAGCTGATAAACTCACCCACGCCTTTCTGCAAATTTGAATAACTGCGTTTTAAAATGTAAATGGAAAAGATTTATTAGAAGCCCAAATAAACAGAGAAAAGATGGGTGAGATAATGCTAAGCTAGCCTGGCAGTAATCAGCTCCTTATTCTTGGATTTACTTTGTCCAGGGGGTCAGAACCATTGGTTACTGAGAAGCGATTGCTAGCTGGAGGAGTTGACTCTGTTGACACTTTAAACAACTGGACCTGATTTTACCCAATCGCCAATGTATGTGATGCGTCAGCTCTCTATGAAGCTTTCCAGAAATTGCGTGCGCTGTAAACGTGGCCCTGCTCAGTGGGGAGTGGGGCCACAACCTCCCTGCCAGTAACCAAACATCTTAAACATTCCTTTTGCTCAGACTTTAATTGCTCAATATTTGAAAGCGTCACCAACACAGGTCAAACGGCATCTTTCATTCTCTGCCATTGCCAAACTGCAACCATAAACTACAATTCATTAATGCGGCATGGCAAGCTTGAAATCAGGTTGTACCATGAGCCTCTTTAGAGTGACGTAAGAGAACATCAACGGCAGAAGCGAGGAACTCTTCATTAGCCGTACCAGAAGAAGAACAAAGCTAAAGCTGATTGCAGAAAAGGAAAATATGTAATAATTTCTTTTCCAATTCAGTATTGAATTTGTAGCAGCAGAGATCAAAGAGAGGAGGAGGCATAAGATAAAAGCACATAAAAGATACTCACTGTGGTGCCTTCAGTCAAACAGGCTCTCAACGTCACTAACCTGAAATTAAAGACAAAAAAAAAACAACCTAACACAACCTGATTTCAGGTGCTTTTTTTCCCAGTGGAGTCAGACTGAAATGACGTCTGTGTTGTGCAAATTGCTCTCTGCTTATCTGTATTCTGCCTCCTCTCCTCTCTCAGGAATGAAGGGAAGATATGTGTCATGTCAGATACAGAAGAAATTTAATATCCTGAGAGGAATTCTTCTCATGTTTAACCTTTCCTGCGTCCCGCTGGACTGCAAGCCTCGTCTGTAGTTGTCCTTGCTGTGCCTTGTTTTGTGCCAGAGTCCTTCATTTGTGCACCAAAGCTTTTCACTGACTGCTTGTCATTGGCTGGATCAGGTTGGAATGCAGAGAAGCAAACATGTAGGCCGACTTTGCTTCATCTACCTGCAAAACGTTGGCTTTCCAATGACGACTTCAGTGGAGTTTTATAAATATCTTTTGGATAAACTTTTCAGCAGCTGATTTGATGTTTTGTTCTTTTTATTTAGAAAAAAAAAAACATTTTTTTTCTAGTGATAATACCTGCTGATATTCAATATAATTTAAAAAAAATTCAAAGTCATCAGAACTTTCATTCTGTCTGTGTCCACTGAACACAACAGTTCAAATAAAAGTAAAAGGGAGTATGTATTCCCAAAACACCAAATCAGGTTTTACTCACCGAGTTCCAGTTTTCCCAGCTTCTGGAGGAGCCTGAACAGAGCCGGCCCAAGGCAGAAGCAAACTCAGCAGCTTCTTAGAGCTCCTCTCCTCCTGTAAAAACACTGGACCCAGAGGCAGGCAGCTTTAACAGCTGTTTTAACAATTTCTTTAAATTATTGAGAATGATAATGCAATTAAACTTTAATTAAGTGCAATTGTGTAACATTAGAATTTTTATGTGGAAAGTTTATTTTGTAAATGTTCAAGGAATAATCTTTGTAGTTTGATTGTGTGTTACCATGGCTACAATCTGATGCAGTGAGGTTAACCTCAGTGTTTGAGCTCAGTTTGTCCACAAACCTTACCAAATAATAACGAGTTATCAGCGATCTGCCAGATCTCCACCCAGTCTGTGTTGGGCGGTCATGTTCTTAACAGAAAGAGATGCATCTAAATGATTTAAGGCCCCATAAGCAGGAAAGGGGCCAAGTCTGAATAATGTTTACTTTGAGCAGGTGATGAAGCCTCTACGTATCAAGCCAAAACATATCCAGCCACAGATTCCCCACTGACAGGCGAGTTGCTAAAAATGTCATTACCTGGAGTCCTTTTTCCAGGCTCCCAGGGGCCAGATCCAGATGCTGACAAAGCAGTTTAGTAAAAACTTGGCGTGGTCATTGAGGTTGTGTATTCACCTTTCCACCCACTGTTTTTTTTTCTTCTTTTCTTTCTTGCTTTTTACAGAAATTCTTAAGAATTTGGAAAGGTGGCCTCCTGACTCTCCTTTTTGGAAGGGGAGGAGGCTGCAAATGTCCAACGAACTTTGGGGGAGTGACCCAGAGGAAGGGGGGTAATAGCTGGAGGGAGTTTCGGTGTTATAAAACAGCACCGCCACCACAGTGAGGACAGTTCAGAGCAGGCAACATCCCCAAGTGTCAGGCCACAGCAGGGACCGCAGGCTGGAAGACCCTCCTCCGTCCTCTTCAACCTCCCCGTTGCTCCTCGACACTCCGGTCCGGTCCGGTCCGGTCGGGTCGGGTCGTCTCGCGCCGCAGACATGGCACCTGTCCTCCGAGTCCTGGCCGCTGCCATGTTCGCCTCAGCTCTGCTGCTGACTGCGACGTGGGCCAACCTGAACGAAACGTGAGTAAAAAAAACAAAAACAACTTTCGAACCAACTGCCGCAGGTTGTTATGGCAACAGAAGTTGGTAGAGAAGAGCTCACGCGCTGGAGTTTGCAGGATGACCAGGCGCACGTGACCAAACAGGAGGAAAACGGGAGTTTTAGCTCGCGACGGACTGCTTGTGGTTTGGTTTCCTCTGATAGCCACCCTGCGGAGTCCCGAGGCCTCGACGCTTCTTTCAACCACTTTAACGAGCTGTCCTTAAAACTTCACTCAGTCCACTTTATTTATTTTTGCCTTTTAAAAGGGAAATGCTAAATATTGCAACATTTTGTAAGTTGAGAGATGGGTGTAAGTGTAAGTATCTCATTAGCGTAATCTGGGTTTAAATTGACCTGTTGGAGTTAAACACGCAACTAACAGTGGGCCAGTGTGTACCTAGTACATTTTCTGAACACAACCTAAAATAAATCATAACTCTTCATGTGAAACCAATGAAATATGTGTTTTAACCTCTTAAATGACCTCCTAATTTGGGTTTATGTTAAACTGTAGCGCCGTAACCTTCATCACAATATGATGTCATCAAAAGACTTCACAGAGTGAAATATTTATTTGTCTAATATGTTTGGAGCACCATAAACCTTTGCTACAAAAATATGTTTGGCCACTTGGACAGACTTTTACCCCTCATTTATCCACTCAACTGAGCTAAATCTTGCTGACATAAGTTCAGACAGCTTGTAAGTTAATCAAATCTTGTGCAAGCATAAATCATACTAATACCATTTATCTTCACTTCTAAACACTGTACCAGTGTGTAACAGTCAAATGCAGTCAACATTAACTAGAAAAGAAACAAGAGTCAGCAGTGTGTAAAGTTGTTGGTTTGCATTCATTAAATAAAAAAAAAAATAAATAAATAAACGTCTGCTTTTATGAATGCATTCAAAATGAGGTTCTTAAAATTCATCAAAGTACATTCTGATTGTTAATGTGTTCACTGACCGTGGGATTTTTCACCTTTATTGAACAGAAGGGACGGAGATTTTTGGAGCGTTCGCCTGCTGATAAGGAGAAATTGTTTCATTTCAATCACCAATCGCCAACTGATTGGTGCAACGACTGACATTTTGTGTGTCTTATATGTTAAGAACCAACAGACATTTATTAAATTAACATCTTTGCAAGAGTCACCATGTCAAAGTGCATTTCTATAGATACCCCATTAGGTCTACAGCTATACAGAAAACCAAGTTCTCCTCAGAGCTTAGTTTGCACTGAGTGCTGTTTACACTTGGGATATTCAGTCTGTGCACAGCCATCTGTAAAACTGCATGTTGCATAGAAAAAAGTGTGTTGTTGAGTCAAGAGTTTCACTATGCACAGTTAAAATGAGCTGCAAGGAGACAGCTGGCCGATTATCCGGTACGGTAGTTCCCCAGTAATGAAAAAAGAAATCCCATCTTGTTTTTTATCTGCTCTAGCAATCAGAGCCCAGGCATGACCAAATGATGATGCACAAGAGATTTCTTTAAAGTCGGCTATAACCAGAGAAGAGGAGATGTTATCTAATTATACTGTGTGTGCTTTTTTCACAAAATGTAATAAAACATTTGGCATAACTGCATGAACTTACATAATTGTATTGAACACGAACATCTCTCACATTATCATTGTGGCTAAAATGTTTGTGCTTATGTAGACTGATCCAATAAGTGCTAGCTGCTTGGGTAGCATTAGCATTTTCAGCAGCACCATGGAGACATTGAGTTGTGTCGATTTGTTTGTTTCCCTTTCAGCTACAACAGCGGTTTGCATTCCGTGTATCAGATTGTAAAAGTTCTTTCAGAGAAAACAAATCAGAAAAGGATGCAATAGGGTTCCAACTCAAAGGTGTAACATGTAACACACAATTTCCACTGCTATGAAATGTATGTAGATTCTATCCAAATGTTATGACAATATGCATTGTTACTTGCATATTGGTTTGAACCAATCTTAACCAAACACTTGTAGAGGCGTCTTACAAAGGGCTTTCTCTGTTGCCGTGGCACTTCTCAGAGTAACGTAGCAGTGGTGAGAGTTAAGAGGTATTTGGCAGAGCAGTTGAAATAAACTTTGTAGTGCATTCTAAATAAAGTCTCGAGAGCTGCTGGATCCGAAGAAAGGAAAGATCTTCAGTAATCCTACAGCTCTGTGGATTAAGACAACTTTAAAAAGATGTGGCACAAGACGATTTGGTTGACTTGAATTTAAATATGAAGGAATTAAGGTCATCTGACATTCAGCACTTTTTTTTTCATGAATTCACTATTTTCACTTTCATACACACAGGTTTATAAATGTACGAGCTAGTGGAAACCTTTGTGGAAGATCATGTCACTTTCAAGACAGTCATCACTACAAAGTATTCCACAGTCAACAGTTGGTGGTGTTATGACAAAGTTAAAGCAATTGGGGAAACACAGCAACCCAGCCACAAAGTGGTAGGTAAAGGAAAACCAACAGTCATCAACTTTCTGCAGTGCCAATAGCTACAGACCTCTAAACTTCATAGGACCTTCAATAACTCAAGAAAAAAAACAGATTTTTAAATTGATTTGGGAATAGGAAAACTTGACTGCTTTACAAAGATTTGACCTTGGTCACTTTTGTTATGAATCGGAGCAGATACCGCTAGCTATGCCTCAGTGGCTGTGTTCTGTAAAACATTTTTAATATTCTGCTGATGTATTTCTGCAACATCTTTTCAAATGCTCATGAAAGAAAACAGCGAGAACTCCTTCAGTTGAAGTTTGTTCTGAAGCAGATTCCATGCATTCAAAGCTGTTCATATCAGAACATTTTGGGAGACATTTTCTACCAGTTACACTAAATAACTTTTTCTTTTTCTTTTTTGTAACCACTCCAGTATCTATGCAGTGACTGTTAGCTCCCGTGTGACTGGAGGGAAACAGGAGACCCTGTGTGCTCACGTCCAGAACCCTGCTGAACGCCTCTCTCTCTCCGTCTCTCTGACTGTGGAGTCCACCAGCAGTGTCATTCTGGAGGCGGCCGTCTCTGAGGAATTCTATCGCTGCCTCAGCTTCCAGGTCAGCCTGCCTTCCTGTCTGCCAGCCTTTTTTTTTCTCCTGCAAAACTGAGCAGAACTCTGAATTTTTCAAAGTATTTAATGCATTGATGATGTTTTTAAACACAGTGTGCTCTCCTCCCCTCATCCTCTCATTGTTTGGTCACAGAATGCCGCGGATCTTGGCATCATTACGCTCCTCATTAGGTACCGCCATATCTCAGGCTGTCAGCGGTGGGGTTCAGTCATGAATTCTCTGGTTCCTGTTAGCTTGCGGCTCGCAGGCCTTGCTTCATATTGATGAGGAAAGCCTTGAGCCTGCTTCTAATCTGCTCTGCAACAACAACAAGTCTTCGTTTGAGTTTGTTGGGCCCCGCTTCAGGAACGATCGGGTGTTTTCACGCTCGCAGCCAAGCGCAGACGGCTTTCTGCCAGAGGACTAGCCTTCTACCTGCATTCTTCTGAAGAACACCTCCTGTCCTGTACCCTCAAAATGCACGCATGTGGAAAAAAAATCCCCTTGAAACACTTTCCTGGAAGAAGTTTCAGTTCCCCGTTACGCAATAGCAGCTTTACTGGCAAGCAAAGACACACAGAACAAGTTTTCTAATTAAATTGTTGGGAAAGATCTGTTTTTTTAGCTTATGAAGCTCAATTTACTCTATTTTCAAGCAGTTATTATCCTGTGTTATACAGGGCACACCTATTCCCTGGCCGTTCCTCATATTCTTTCCCTTTCAGATTTTATCACATCACAACCAATATGTTTTGGCTGTAATGTGAAACAGATTTTTTTTGGGATTTTTTCTGATGGACCAACACAAAGTAATGACCCAGTTGTGAAGGGGAGGGAAAATGATCAAATCTGCAAAGTTTAAATACTTGTGAAGCCTCCTTTACACTGCCTCAAAAATTATGTCAAAGTGAACGCTGATTTCTTTAAAATGTAAAGAAATCAGGGTAAAAATAAGATTTTACGCAAAACAAATGATTGTATAAATATTCCCCCACCTTTGGCGGCAATCCCAGGATGTAGTATGTTTCCCAGTCAGACTTCTTCTTCTTCTTCATTCTTCCCCCTGTACTGTTGTAGTTCTTTCAGGTTGGAGGGGATCAGGTTTCAAGTCTAAGCACATGTTCTCTATCATATTAAGGTCTGGGTTTTGACTGGGCCACTCTAGAACCTCCACCGTGTCTTCAAATCTTGTCTGCGAAGCTCCTGCTGGATGCTTGGGTTTGTTGTCTTGCTGGAAAATAAATGTGGTCCAGCATCAGTTGGCAGGACCTCAGTTGAATTAGGTCCGTCACTTTAAAGAGTCAATATTTATGCAATTTCTTCTTCTTTTTTAAATGATACATTATTTTATTTTATTGGAATTTTTTGTAGAAATTACAATAAAATCGTAATTTGATTTTAGAGGGCATTTTTGTAAGTTGTTTTTCTCAACACAACCACATTTTGTTGATGCTGATTGATTTGTAAATCAGAGAGTAAACCTGCCAGGTGTGTGATTATCTCTCATAAAGCCCAATAAAACACATCTAGGCTTGTGATTGATATCAAATGTTTCAGATCTGATTGGATGTTGTATTATTTTGTGGCATTGCAGGTGCCAGCCGTACCGGTCAGGAGGGTAGCAGTCGTCCAGGTGACCCTGGCGGGTG